AAAGAAGCAGGTAAGGAATAAGAAACATTTTCTGTTATTCAGAAAATACTCTGCACTTCCGAACAACAACAACAAGAAGCATGTAGTTAAAGCCATTAATATACACCCTGGGACATTTTCTTCTCTGGGACAATAAGCTACACTCGGGGGGGGGGGGGGGGGGAGCCTCAGAAGGAACAATTCTTCAGGCGTTCCAGGAGTTCAGACAGGTTAAGAAAATCACTTAAGGCACCCTCAACAGACAGGGCTGCCTACCCCTACCCCTCTCCCAAAGGCAATCTTATCACTAGAACTGTTTCTACAGAATATTTGTATACTTTGAGAGAAATGGCTAAAATGTGGCAAACACATCATCTGGTTTCAACTGAGTGACCAGAAGTTCCCAATTCCGTTGGGCCACACAGGAATCAATGTGACTGGAACTGAGGATCCTCAGCCATCAGGTGGGCTAAGCTCAGCTCACAGACCTGAAGCTGTTTTATTCAGATTCTAGAAAGGACCTTAAAATGGAAACATGCTCTCACAAAGTAAAATACTTTACAAAATTAAAAAAGAACTAATGCTCAAATTTGGAAGTGAAAACTCAGAAACTTCTTGTATGTATGATTTTCTCATTCCTGAGTATTCTTTACACATTACGGTTTCCCTGCTGATTATATGCCCTTTTACCATCTGACAAGTTACTGCAATGCTTTCCTTGGGATATTTCACAAAAGAACCCAAAACTTAATATTACTAAGAAACTCCAAACTCTACCTTCAAATAATTATCTTCCCCTAAATTTCTCAGTCCTTTCTTTTAACATTTGCAATTCTTTAAAATTTTTAAATTGTAAATTGATGGAGGCAATTTGTTCACTTTTTAATATCCTGATATTTTCCTACAATAATGCTGTGAACCTAAAATAGTCAGAACAAAATATATGTCAGTGGATAGGCTTCCCTGCAAGGGATATGTTGACATATTAATTCTGCAGAAAAATACATGAGTGTGAATTAGCACTTTTGAATTTCCTGGTCTGAACACGGTGGAAAGCCAAAGGTCTTTCATCAACTCTTATTTGATCTACTCAACAATCACCTTGATACCACTTAACATCCTGCTGATCCAGCCAAAAAGCAGTTTAAAAAAATTCTTGTAGTAAAAGATGTTTCCATTTAAAACATAAACACACTAGTAAATCTGCACAGGAATGAAACATTCTGGGCAGGATTACCATCTACAATGATATACACAAACCCTGTGTTTATGGACTCTCATATTAAATTTACTCACACTTACTAAGGAGTTATTACATGGTAATCTTGGCTCAGCTACTGACATTGGACAGGAGGATCTTGAAGCACAATTCAAATTCACTGACCCACTCTGGCTCTGCATTTCTGATCCACACTTCTACATTTCAACCATTTCAAAGTACTAAGATGTGGCAGAAGGTCCCCTTTGACCCACAATGCCACGAGGATTGCATTTTGCAGGTACACTTATCCAGACATCTGACAGACACAGTGGACCACAGAAAATGCACTTCTGGAGGGATGATTCCTTCAAACAACTATTACTTAAGTGTGTGTAAAGTCTGTGTCAAAGACTGTGCTTAAGCCTAAGTGATTCACAAAACAAGGAAAAAGCCCAACAGGACTCACTCCACAATTTCACCTTTTCACAAGCATTTTGCAGTCTGGGCCCTTGAGAGTGTCTGGGACATTAACAGAGCAATAGGCACCCAACCACCCCATCATAAAGTACCCACAGACAAAGTATGCCATGGTTGGATCTGAAGATCTGCTTTACTGCATTATCCAAGGGGCATACTCACACGCCAGGTGTAGGAGACACAGGGCACAGTGTCAACCCTAAAGACATGAGTCCACTTCAAGCCTGCACACCACTGCCAGGGCAAATGGTACAAACAAGTTGGAACTAGGTGCACCAGAACTGCATGTGCAACTGCCCAAACCATGCTCCACTCAGAGGACTCCAACTTCCTTTAAATTAGCAATGTTCTTTTATGGAACATTTAAAATTTGGTTTGGGCTTTTTACCAAATGCATAAAGCTCATTAAAATTAGTTAATCTATAACATTTCTGGACCTTCTCTATAATATCAAGAAGTGAAAAACAACATGAAGTTATTTACATTTAGAAGTTTCAAATAAAAGCAAAGGCAACTCAGTTTTTCTAGATTATAAAGTATCAAAAATCTGACTTTAACAGATACAGAAATGTGCATACTAAACTGATCAGGATGGGAAAAAAAAAAAACACAGGTCCCTTATGCCAGAGGCTAAAGTGATCAGTTAAAGCGTAATAAGAATTTTATATGTAGGTAGTCTTCCTAAGCTACTTTTGCTTGTATTTTCATTAATTGTATCCACTACATAACATCTGTCTTCTTTTAACCAAGGGATACAATTGTAGAAGAATGAGAGCCAGAGAACATGAGATGGTGGCTGTTAAATAAAGTTGAAGTTTTGTTCAGTTGGAAACGTTTCATGGGCTGATTAATTTTTGCAAATAGTCTGAAAAGCCAAGGTAAAAAAATAATTAGAAAAATGTGTCCATGTTCTCCCAACAATAAAATATGAGATCCACATTCCTTGCATACTAAAAATTAAACTTCTTAGCCACGACATTTTAAAAACTTGGTGCCTTGTCTTAAACTTTTCATTTTACAAGTCATATTTCAACAGTTACATCGGCTAAAAGTCTATGCATGAACAAAAAACCTCAGTACCCACAATTAAAACTAAAGGTCACAGGTAAGAACAAATTCCATTAAAAACAGACTGGGGACAAACAGGAGAGAAGAATCATCAAGGAGGATGAAAAGATTACCATTATTTTTCCTGGAAATTTCTGACAAGTCTGATTGGTGGTACTGAGGTGAGTTTCTTGGCAAATGATTTTCAGGTAGTTTCTTGGAGGTCTTCAGCGGACAGAGCTCTCGTTCCTTGAGCTCAGCTATGTTCTCTGAAGTTTTAATGTCAGTTTCCTTAGGAAACATACATGTCTGTATTCCCTCCTTCGTATTACATTCAGAAGAAGGATTATTGATAACAATTCTGCTTTTCAGTGTGTTTTCTTCCTTATTCAATAAGTTTTTGTGAAGGGTTAAATTCTTTTGCAGGTTGACATTCATGCCACTTGCATATTTGAGGCTGATCCAGTTCTCACCCATGATGTCAGTGCAAACATCCTCTTTAGGAACAGACAGGGAGTTGCCCAGTGTCGAAGTCTGTTTCTCCTCAGTAGTAGTGTTGGTGCTGCTGGCCACAGACGTGCTGGTTTTGTGTTTGCTGTAATACACTGAGCACTTGTGCTTCTTCTGAGAATGACCATAGGTGGCCGGGCTCCTCTTTGCTGCATTCTGGGTCCTGCTCTGAGGCGTGTTCAGTGGAAGGCAGCTCTTCCCTCTGCCTTTATCCGAGGAGCCATATGTATCGAGAAAGTTCTTGTAATTGCTTCTGAATTTAAGAAGAAAAACATTTAACGTAAAGTCAAACCAAATAAAACTCTACTTCTCTGTTTCTACATCCATGATAAAAATTGGTATTGCATGTGTTAAAGAGTTCTACCTTCCCTTCCTTTAAAGCTCGTGAGTTTTCTCTCAACGAGGGCACCAATAAACTAAGTCCTTACATGAAGACTATCTTGTAATAAAAGAAACAGTGCATATATTCACATGATGTCTTCAGGAACATTTTATGAAAACAGATTTGGAATAAAAGCTTACATTACCTTAAAATAAAACCATAAATGAGTAATATCAAAAATGAGAACCCTCCCATCCTACCCTATGCACACATGCACAGGCAAACACTTTAAGGATTCTTACTTGTGAGGATGGGAGTTGATTACGTCCATTGGACTGGTGTTTTGCTGTGAAGAGGAATTAGCATTTTGCCTCTGTCTTGTTTTCATGAATTCCATAAGAATGTACTGTGCTTGTTGGAAGGCTATTAAAATCACACCCAACAAGGACAAACTGAGGAAGCAAGCAACAAAGTTCATTACTGGTTCTGAGTGGCATTAAAAAGACTAGTTTCATTATAGAACAGTGGTCAGTGATTAATGGAAAATGTCTAAAGATGCGGTAAAATTCCATAAGATGTATGACATCACAATTTCTGATGTTCCTTAAAGATTTGAAACCCAAGTTTCTAAAAATGTGCATATTTATAAGTTTAACTGTTCAATTTTTAAAGATGCTTCTAGGATCAAATCACTCAAAAAGGGTCATTCTAGTCTTCTAATCTCAAATCACCAATGCACTGAGCTAACAAGAGTAATTAACATTCATATTTCCCATTGTGACTACCAATGAACATACACGGAGCACAACTCTCTATTACACTCCTAGGTCCTATGAGTTTCTTACTATTAGTTTACTATAACCTTAAAGCTTACCAGTTACTACTTTGTTTACTTCACGTATGTCAGAGTTCTCAAAAGCATGGAAATTCCACTCAATTCATATGCTCTGACTATACTCAAGATATTTACATTTCCATGCCACTCGCCTGAATGACTTCACTACTTAGTGAGAGAGGAACGGGGGATATGGTGGAGGTTTACCTGACGAAGAAGACCGTGAGCCTCCAAAATGACTCCTCCCAGCTGGGTCCTGGCACCACATCAGCACATAAGGGCAACAGGTGATGAGGGAGGGTCACGTTGAGAGTGAAGCGGAATTCTAGATCTGCTGCAGTTACGAGAGTCAGCTCACGAATGACCCAGGAAGACGTAAAGTCTGGAGTAAAGCTGGTAACAAAAGATTCGTCTTTATGAACTTTTCATCATTTCAACTTTAGGCACAAAACAAAACAACCATAATGGCAGCAATATTTCTTACTTGTATAATACAAATATTTATATAAAAACAACTTAAGATGTCTTACCAATGGAAAAAGGGTTTTCTCCCACATTGTTAAAAGCATCACAAAACTAAATGAAGTTCCAACCCAATGCTTACACGATGCTGATATCACGGGACATGTTTGGGTCCAGGGAAAACTGATGACAATCTAGCACTTCGAATCCATAACCTTGGCAATTATACCCATTAATTTTCAGAGATGACACAGTTATAGGAAGAGGTCCAATATTCTCAACTTTAAAGTTCTTTGTAATAGATAAAATTTGCTTGCTGTCTTTCAGTTCTAGTAAGGACAAAAAGTCATGTTCAGTGACTTTAAATGAACAGCAACACTTGTTTAAAATAATAAATTCACTCAGTATTTACTGAATCAACCAAACAATTATTTATACTATTAAAATATAAAACAAATTCAACATAAACTCAAAGTATGATTCCTATCCAATTGCTAGAACAACTAAAAAATATGTTATATAATCAGAATACAATAGAAATAGTTAAGTAGTCAAGATTTTTCTTAAGTTAAAATCTCTGCACAGGTACCAAAAGTAATCAAAAATTTCTTCTTTGGTCCTTTACTTACTAGAAGTTAAGGTTAAAAGTTTATTCTTCTCAGAAGCCAAACAGTTTAGATTTACCACTATTCACCATATACTCTGTGCCCCTATGATTTTTTACTCACATTGAACCAGGGACCAGTTAAGAGCATATGTATGTGCTTCTGCATAAATTCACAGCTACTAAGAAGAAAGTAATTATATCCTTGCAAATAAATGAGAGCACATTTTATACTGAGAGGTTAAAAAAAGAAGAGTTTTAACAATTTTTAAATATCCCTATATAAATTTATAACCCACAATCTATTCCATATAAGGACTAATATTTTATCTGGTTCTATCATTTTTATATTACTCCTTAATTCTACCATTCGAAGCCAACTCTAAATTATCGAATGAAAGAATGGAAAAATAAATACCCTGAAGAAGAATTCCGAGTGCAAAATTACTAACACATCTTTTCACACTCAGTGCTAATTTTTTTTTGTTTGGCTTTTGTAATTCCAAACAGGCATTAAAATAGTGCCACAAATTATTCTCTAGTTTCACCAACCAACTTTCTCTGTAGAAAACATATCGTTAAACTAAAATGCTTGCAGTGTTTTCATATAATTAAAAGTAGTAATAAGAAAACTAGACAGAATTTACAAAAAGCACTTTACATCTTGGTTTGATTTCTGTTTTAGCTCCTAAGGAAGTTCTTAAAACTAATATAAGTCACTTAAAGGCATTTACATTTAAATACATGCATACTTTAGAAATTTCTAGTGCAACATTTCAGTGTATTTCTAAATTTGTATTGTCTGATACAGCAGCTATTAGACACGTGTCTATTTTAAACTTAAATTAATAAAAATTAAATAAATATAAAAATTGACCTCATCAGTCACACTCGTTATATTTTAAGGGCTCATTAACCACATGTGGCTACTGACTACAGTATTGGACGATGCAGATACAGAATATTTCCATCATCACAAAAAGTTCTATCAGTTAGCACATGATTAGTCTTCTCTCCTCATCATTCTGGTATGATTTTCTATAATTAGATAACTGATAACCAAATTTACTGCTTCACATATTTATCTTAAATATTTGATACCTTATTGGTAATTTAGCAATGACACTTTCTTTTTTCCCTCTATATCTATTAAATTGAGTTAAATATTTAAAGCTACTATTCTAATCCAGAAGTATGCTCAGATGTTTGCCTGATTTAATTATTTAGATCAATACAACAAACTTACTGTAAATTTTTAAAAGAATCTACTTATAGAATCCTTTCACTCTTGGCTTTAAGGTCAAGCCTTCCCTATCAGAGAGCCAGGCATACGAACTCACGTCGGCGGCAGCCCATCAGCGTGGACTCAGGCACCTTGAATCGGAGTGACCCTCCAGCACCAGGAAGTCTTCCACCCACTTTCAGTAACTCTCTTGCTCCAAATCCATCCACACCAATCATATCGATGACAGTCAAGTTATTTCTACAGTTAAAGGAGATACAAATAAAACGTCACCATAGAGTCACGAGATATAATGCATTTGAATTTAAATATTACCAGCTAGCAAAAACTTTTTTCAAGTTTTAAAAAGGAAAATCAATTTAAATACTGTGGCCTCTCCTGCCATCTCACAGAATAAGGATGTATCCACAGGCAGTGGAAGCTGCCACATCCAGAGAAGTCAAAGCAAGCTGACTATAGCAAGAATGTGTGAACAACCATTACCACTCTCCAACCACGAGCCACAAATGGAAACTCACATATTTTTCTAACAACCAGGTTGCAGGATGGTGATCCAAGAGAAAAAACTGAAGAAATAAACTGGGGCCTACAGACAAAAACACTAACAAATTTAGACAAAATGATAAAAACTGTTTCCAGGATGAACTAAGGAGTTTTCATAGTAATTGTGACTACAAGAAATTCTGCCTTTGGGATGATTCTAGAAATAAAATTCTACTATTTCTTTTGAACCAAACATTTAAAACATCATCCCACAAATAACATATATCTAGTCAGGTTCTTATTAGTCAAACTAATTCAGACTAGTGTTTGTCTTTTCATTAATTAAAACCATGATTTCTAGGATGAAAAAATAGAAATGATGTTTAAATGAAGAATACTGGACTGAAAGCCAGTCATCACAATGCAAATACTATGGAAGCAGAGAGAGAACACATTTTACTTTTCTAATTATGCAAAATACACTGAAATATCTTTACATCTTTATCTAAAAGATTAAAAACCTTTATTTAACTATTTAAGAGCCCTTAAGTGATAAGGCATTAGATAACTGATATTTACAGAAGAATATTGTGTCTACAATACAGAAACCACCAAAAGTAAATTAACTACTATAAAAAGTTTAGACTTTCTTTCCGAGTGTGGGATAGTTTAACCTGGGATGAGGTAAAGTTTATTTCTGCACTTCCTATGACCTTAGTTCTTCAACAAAGAATAGGTTAAAATGAAACACATAAGTCAGCAGGGCATTAGAGAATCTTTATTAAAATGCTTAACAGAACAAACTTTAAGAATTTTATTTCACCACGTTTTCTTACATGTTAAAGAAGGTCACAAATAATTTTTTTTTACCAGTTTATCTGATAATAAAAAAGCTTTAAAAAAATAACCAAAATGTCATTTATTAAAAATTAATTTTGTGTTACTTCTCACCAATGCAGACAGCTTCAACATGGGCACACACTCCCTACTGGAGAAGGGAGGAGGCTGAGGCATGGGAGATTAAGTGAGGGGCCTCTGGTGGCCTCTCTTCTCAGCCACCACCTCTTCCTACCCTGCATCACAGCCTCACCACTCAACACCTGATTGAGAAGTGAGCATCAGCTATTAGCTAAAGAGATTATATATTCTTGAGAGAGAGAAAGATTTAGACAGATGAGTCATCGTCAGCAAGAAAGAAAAAGACTCCGTGACGAGGACACACCTACCGGATTAGTATGAGTGAGGTAACTTTTCCATAGTCAGTGGGTGTGAACACGACACCAACCCTTTTCATTTCCAAAGGCTGCAAATTTAAATGGAGGCTGCCAAACCTGGATTCCTCAGAATGCATACCCTGCAAATTATTAACAAATACAGTTAAACAACTTCATATTCCTGTAAAGCAAGCTTCCAATGTCAAGTACATCCTAGAGTATAAACATGATTGCTTCTCTTTTAATGTCCAGATGTGACCACCCTAATCAACCATTTGAACTTGTTTATCCTGAGAGTTCACACCCATATACAGTTCCAAAGCCATAGCTGAGAAATACTATTTAGTCTCTGCTTAAATGCTACAGTGATCTGACAAGACCACCCAGCCCCTCAGATCTCTTTATACAAGTTCTTTATATTGAATTTAAGTTTATATAGAAACCATCTTTATTATGTTTAGTCTCTCCAGTCAGGAGGAAGATCCTGATTTATTCAAATCCTCTTTTATTCTCTCCAAGATTTCTTTCTCTGAATAAAACTTGTGCTCTAAATTTAATAGCCAAGATCTTTGTGGTATCTTTGTGGTAAATAAACTTTCTCTCTCTCAGTCCCACTGCTCTGTCTTGCTCATTTTCACTGAAAGCAATGTATTTCTTTCTTAAGCTACAATCATATAATCTGCATGGTAATATTTCTCTTTCCTGTGTTTTCAATTTTTTTGTTTTATCCTTCAATTATTGCTAACATTTCGCACACCACCTGAAAGAAGAAATGATAGTATTTGATTCATTTTCACTACAATTATAAACCCACAAAGGGAGAAACTCTGCTTTATACATATAATATGGATACTGAATTAAAAAGATGCTAACTTGTATTATTAAAATTATAATAACACCTTTATTAAATGGTTTTTGTATGCCAGGCATTATACCTTAAATATGAAATATTTGATTTCATATTTAATACAATCTTCAATGAGGCTTATTATAAAGATGAGGCCCAGAGAGGTTAAATAATTTGCCCAAGGAGGGTCACACAGCTGAACATGAAAAAGCCAGGATTCAAAACCTTGATTGTCCAATTTCATATGCTCTTAACCAAAGGAACTATACTTCTAAAAGCAAACCAACAAAATTAAAATGGAGGAGGCCTGTCTTTACATGACAAAGAGTTCTAATAACAATTTCGAGTTAAATTTTGAGTGTCTTCTAGGCACTGACATTGACTATTCTTTTTGTCAATGTAATAAATTAACAACAGTAGTCATTTCCTGTATCACAAAGGTGTAATATTTTGGAGAAAAATCTTCAATTATAGGTAGTAATTTTTCCAAATGAGATGTACCATTTGTTCAAATCTGAATAGAATATTTAGTTGTAAAAGATATTGGCATTATTTTTGGAATTTCAAACTACATGATTCAATACTAGTGAGGCAAAACATTTCATAGGTTTTTTTTACTATTTTATGTTATATAAAGAATTGCATTTATTTGTAAAAAATATATCTATATATTTATATTACATTTATTTTTAACTTCTCAGTATACATTGTAGTTGATCTTCATGTCCCTTTACCTGTTCCTCTTTCCCCCTCACTCTCTGTCCCCCTACTACATCATATCTGTTTATTTGTCTTAACAAGTTTAAGGAATTGTGATTGTTGTGTCTATATATAAATATATATACATATATATATATACACACACACATATATACACACACACACACACACACACACACACACACACACTTAAATAACAGAAGGAGGGAGACCACAGATAAACTTCACCTAAGAGTTCAAACAAATCAAAGCACGTTTTTTTTGTTTTGTTTTGTTTTGTTTTTTCCTTTTTTTTTTTTGTCTTTTTTCGTGACCGGCAACAGATCGCAATCCTCAGTGTCACGCCCATACCGGACCGGGACCGGCAATGGGATCGCAACCCCTGGTGTCGCGCCCGCACCTCGCTCAGCCAGTGAGCGGCCGGTCTGTATGTGGGATCCGAACCCTCGGCGGGAGCGCCACCACACTCCCAAGCGGCGCACTGTAGCAGCAGTGCGCCACCGGGCCGGCCCATCAAAGCACGTTTTTAAGTGGATTTTTAACAGGCTTTCCTTTCTCTTGGTAAGCAGTGTAGGCAGCACTGGCGGCGGTGAAGCCCTGCACCCAGCATGGTCTTGCACTTGTCAGCAAGCCTGTCTCCAGCCTACTCCTAAGTATTTAGGTAATGTCTCATGATTGCCCAGAGGCTTAAGAATTTTAGAGAGATCCTTTTTTATAGATAAGGTGAATATCACAGAAATCAGGTGACTTGCTAAAAACATAAAGACAGTTTAGCAATAGAAGATTTCTTAAAATGTATTTGTTTTGGGCCAGCCCCATGGCTCACTCGGGAGAGTGCAGCGCTGGTAGCGCCAAGGCCGCAGGTTCTCTGGCTGAGCATGGTGCAGACAACACCATGCCGAGGGTTGCGATCCCCTTACCGGTCAAAAAAAAAAAAAATGTATTTGCTTTTACCTTATCTTGCCCTAAAAAAGAACTCAAGGGATCGAGGAATCTTAAGAGAACTATAAATTTGGGGGCCCTGGGTTTTATGGTTTTCTACATAGCTCTGATTCAGTTGTTATTTCCTCACTCACATTATTCTAAATCATCAAATTAAAATGATTTACAGGCTAACATGAACCCAACTCCTGCTACACTGGTGAACTAGAAAAATCTGCTATATATCCTTAATGCCTGTAGAATAAAAATAAAAGAGCCAGATATAGTACACAAAAACACTTTAAACACAAATCAGTGAAGCCCATGTGTGTGTGTCTTGTTTATCACATTCTTTTTTCTGTTTAAAGATAACATCCTAATATCCTACCCAGTAAGGGCAAGCTTTGGTGAGCTGGAATTCACCGGTTGTAAAATTAATCATCTGCATATCGGTGCCAAACCTACAAAGAAAAAAACAAATGTTTAAAATAGCATTCAGATCTACTAATGAAGAAAAATGTAATAATATACAATGGCAAATACATACATTTACATATAGGTGAGCCACGTGTTTGCACACATACACACACTCCCCCCTGGTATCTGGCATACTGTAAGTGCTCAATAGATATTACTGAATGAATAGCTTTGGCAGTGCATGATGTCAAGAAGCATGGAGTGCCAAACACTTTAAATATAAAGCAATGTTTTTTTCTCCAAATGGTTCATAGCTATGGAACCTGAAAGGAAATAACTCCTAATCAAGGGCAATTTATCCCCGAAGGAACATGTGGCTACGTCTAGAGACATTTTTGGTTGCCATAGCTGGGGAGATCCTACTGGCATCTAGTGGGTAGAAGTGAGAGATGCTGCTAAATGTCCTTCAATATGCACAACAGTCCCTCCTCCCCCAAATAATCCTCTGGTCCAACATGTCAATAGTACTGAAGTTGAGAGACCCCGGGACAAAGGGAGATCTAATTAACCCAAAAGGAGAAAACATTCTAAGTAAAATTGTAATTGTGTGAAAACAAGATATAACAGACATGAATTAATACTATTATCACCTTATTTAACACTAGATAAGAATATACAAAAACACTAAACTCATTGCTCGTGTTGCCCAAAATCACCATGCTTTAGAGATTCTAAATTTTAGGAGTTTATGTGAAAAATTGTGATGATAAAGGTTTCCTCACTAAAGAATGTTCTACTGGGAAGTGGACTTGACACAGTAACACTGTAGATGCCACTAAATGCACAGAACCAGCAATTCCCATCCAATCACATGCATCAAGGGGGGGTGCCCAATATACATGCGTTAATGGGTTACTATAGTACACACATCCACATACAGGTCCTGGGTAAAAAAAGTTAAGGACATTAACTCTGAATCTTAAAAGTATTTCCCAAACAGCCCATCAGAACATCTTCCTACCATTTGTGGAGCAGGCGCACTGCAGCTTCAGGTTTAGGATACGAGGACAGAGGGAGGAGCTGCAAGGACACCGGCAAAGAGGACGGGTTCTTCAGCACAAAGTACTTCACCTAGATATGGGGAAAGGGTGTTCATGCCCGAGAAGGACACGGCATCCCTCCTGAGATATTCCTACACAGAAAGCATAACCTGAATCTCATCATGGGGAACCATCACACAACTCCCATCTTAGAAAATAAATGACCTGCACGCTTCGAAAATGTCTATACAGTGAAAGGAAAGGAAAGGCTGGGGAAGATTGAAAGAGACTGAAAACACCTGACAATGCAAGGAGAGGTCCTGGATCGAATCCTGAACCGAAAAGAAAACTTGCTGTAAAGTATGACTGTGGAATCATTGGAAAAACTTGAACATGGACTGTAGATATCAATGTATGATTAATGTTACATTTTCTGATTTTGATAATTATACTCTAGTTACGTTAAAAAAAAAAAAAGCCCTTGTTCTTAAATAATTCACACTGCAATAGTTAGAAGTTGGGGGCATAATGTCTGATACTCTTGAATGATTCATAAAAATATGTGTATGCAGAGAGAGAGAACAATAGAGGCAAATGGGCAAACACCAGGCACAGGAGGATCTCTATGAAGGACAGCTGGGAGGTCTTGGTACTGTTCTGGAAACTTTTCTCTAAGTTGAAATGACTTTAAAATAAAAAGTTTAAAAAACCAAAAGCAAAAAAACAACAGTCTTAGGATGTCATCCCTACAAAACTCAAGAGCACCTGATGAGGTAAACATTAAAATTCAGATCACATGTGATACAGTTCTTGGCAATGAGACTTGTGAGAAGCAACTGGAAGTCTGCTTGTGGCACCTTTGTCCCTCTGCCTTTCTTCCTGCCAACCTAGCTGGACACATGAGGAAGGAAGCCACACATGAAGGATGGAGAGTAAGCACACAGCTGGAGCCGAGGTCCCCATGACATCACAGAGCAACCCAACTGGCTGTGCATTTCACTCCTTTGAGCGCCTCATTATGGAACAAACTCCCACTGAAGCCAGCGTTAGTCAAGATTGTCTCCGCTGGTTGCAGCTGAGTACGTCCTTAATTGATACGTTTTATTTATGAAGTTCATATTCAATTACAATTCTATTTGTCCTATATATTTTCAGTCTGTTTACAGTTTCACTCCTCATCTTGTTCTTTTGACACCTCCCTAACTAAACATGCTGAAAGGCATATGTGCGTGAATTTAAATTAATTTTGGTTCTGAAACAATATCTCAAGGCAGAAATACTATGGTACTTTGAAAGCTCAAGAGCTGGAATGTCACTGAGAAAGAGGTTAAAGGACACACTATCCTCACCACACTGTTCCTGAGGGCGGTTGCGCTGAAGTTCAACACAAGGCCAGGCTCTGCGACCAAACGAGGCAAAAAGAAAACAAAGGATTCTGACTCCTTGGATTTCTTCAAGTGGGCAAACCGAGTCATTCCTAAAACATTCCTCCTGTTTAATTGACAAAGAAAGAAATTACTATGAAAAATGACTTTGACGTAAACAAAGGAGAAATCCCTAAATACTACTCCCACTGAAAGGAACAGGGCTCTTGGGAAAACGACTTATTCTGGGTCTGGGGAAGAGAAAGTACAAGATTGACCCTAGAATGTCCTGTTTTACTAAAAGGCAAGGAAGTGCTCAAAGTATGATGGGAACACATCAAAGGGACACAGAAGCCAGCCTGAAGACTCCCACCAGCCAAATTTGGGACAAGTTATCAAAAATGACAGTGACGGTAATAGAGTACAACACACTGACTAAAGAATCCATAGTGATGCTCCAAGAGAAACTCTCTCTCTCTTTTTAAACAATATTTGCAACAATAATAAATGCAGAACAAATGAAATCAGACACATCACCATTTTGCAGCTATCAGTCTGATTCAGGCAAGGATTATCAACGAATGCTAAAACCATGAGATGAAACATTCTTACAGAACAGAAAATTTACGTGATATCAAATTATCACAGTACAGATTACTTATTAATGACAAAAGGAAAAAGGTATCTACAACAGAGAGCTCTGTCACACATCATTTAAACCAAACAATTCAATTTAGCAATGCCAATAAGGGATAAATTGACATTTATATACCTCCTGATGTGATGCAGTGATAAAAAGACACAAAATTAACCAGGTAATTCATATTCTTGCCAAAAATGTTTAACCTGAATGTGAACTTGAGGAAGCAATCAAAAGAATCCAGAGTGTGGAATGTTCTATAAGACAACTGGCCTGAACTCTTAAAAACTGTCAACATGATGAAAGATGAAGAAAGATGCAGACACTAAAGAAACTAAGGAAACATGACAACCAAATGCAGTGCATGATCCTTCAATGGATCCTGGATTAAAAGAAAGGAAAAAGAAAAAAACGACTATAACAGATATTATTGAGTCAAATATGGAAATTTTAATATGGACTATATATCAGACAACTGTATCAACGTTAAATTTGTTGGGTATGTAATGGTAGTATAGTTATATATGGAATAATATTCTCCTTAGGAAATAAAGAATTTCCTAATAAAGTACTGAAGGTTGAAGTATCATGAAATCTACAACTTACTTTCAAATGACTCAGCAAAAAGTCTACGTGTGCGTGCATGTCTGTGTGTACACACAGATATAGATACACAGACAGAAATAAAGCAAAAGTGGTAAGATTGTGAACAGTGGTGAACAAAATCTACTTGAGAAATAGTTGAGTATTCACTGCACTATCTTTTCAACTTTTCTGTGGTTTGAAATATGTCAAAATAAAAAGCCGGAGAGAAATATCAATCACTAAATACTAAGGACTAAAATGTCAACAAAGTATTATCTAACAATGTCTCCCCATCGCTGAACAAAAGACATGAAGAAAGGTGAAGACATACTTGCAAACGTCACCGTTTTTAAATTTCTTCCATCTTTCATACAATTTACTCGCAAGTTCAGAATCCACATCCCAGGTAGACCGATCCAGAGAAAGGCTCCCTTCCCAATTAGGATTTTCTAAAAGTAAGATTCGGTTCCATATTTAGATTTGCAGAACGTACAATTCAATTAGTAAATAATGCCAAGAGCTGACTGTTAAACTTCTAAAACTGAGAGGACTGCAGAGTGAATAAATGCCACCTCCTTCCTCTGTTGCTTTAATCCAAGTCCCTCTAACTCAATGGCAAACTATATATCAAATTAAACAAACATGTATACAACTAAATTGAATTATGTAAAGGTAATAACATAAAAGACACATGGTTCATGAATACAGCCTGAAACGAGTTAAAATTATACTTGAAACATTTTTAATAGTTTTAAATCTAAAATGCAAATCTGCGTCCATATAAATGCTAATCATCATTTCAGTCTTTCAAGTCACTCTGCAGAATGCTGAGGGACAAACAGCAATTCTCGAAAATGGGCACAGACCAGGGGCTGATCCAATATAAGGTGCATGTTTATAAACTGGTCTGTTATTCACCTCACACTCTCTACTCCTCTGTCTGTCCTGTCTGTGCTAGAGAGGGCGCATCGGGAAGAAAAAGTGGAAATCTCCCAAAGAAATCTCTGTACTTTAAAACTCTCCCTAGGTTAAATATCTTAATAAATCAAAAGGAAAAAAAAAAAAAAAAACCCGAAAACCAGAAACAGCTATATCGACACTATAACACTATGGCCTTCAGTCTCACACAACTAATACCCACTAAAAAGACATTTATGCTCTATAACTGAAGTCTTCAAATGCAGTTCCAAATTATTTTTACTAATATCTAGTCAGCTACTTTAAAAAAGAATCAGAATCTTCCCATTTTTCCTGGGGACAAGATTGCTACAATAATAAATCAATGTTATTTGAAAAAAATCCCTTAGAAAAGTATAAGCTACTAAAGAATAAGGGAACATTATTTACACAAGTGTCCCAGATGTTTCTGGAGGATTTTTAACAATTTCAAGTCATTCTGTTAATGATCATGGTCTCTAAGAACAATGTAATGCAATTTTGTTTACAGAACTTATTATCCCCTCTACAAAGGCTTACTTCCCTCACTACTTCCCACTCTCCCCAAACTAGAGTTCTTCAAAAGGCCTAAGGGCAAAATACTTACCTGCTTTTGATTTTCCCATGAAATAATGCATGCCACAATGTGCTATCACTTCAAAACCCAGACTCCCTTCCTAGATTGAAAAGTAATATATGAATGACTTAAAACAGAACACTAAACATAAAAATCCTAATGCACTAAAATACGAAGCAGACATTGGCCTCCACCTGGTTAAAGTAAACTTCTGGTTACTTCCCTTTAACCAGAAGCCAAACAACTAGAAAGTAATTTCTTGATTTCCTTTATTCTTGAATCTCTCACAGGAAGGGTCACCAGAGTAAAGTCTGTACAATTATCAATGCCCATAATGATGACCCGTGGGCCCACAAGACACCAAGCTGCCATGTGAATGAAAGATCAAATCAGTCTCGGGACTTTCTTAGTGTTTTTTTAAAAATACTGTATTCTAACCCTCTGAGAAACAGTATGCCAATCTATAGTAACTCTGAGCTACTCAGGACCTTTAATGTTCTATTTTTCACAGGCCTGGAAAGTACAGACTTGCTACTTCCACACGCACCTGAAACCTGCCTGCCCCACCCATGGTCACTCTTCTTACAGGCATCTCTTGATTGGAAAAAAGACATTTCTAAGAAATCTCCCCTGCTCAAAATATGGATGAATGAAATTAACCTTACATTTTGTTTAGTTCATTTTAGAAGTCCTATCTTCACACTTATAGCTAAACATGAGGCACTTCTAACTATGAAACATCAACACTAATAAGTGAGAAAAATCATAAAGATGGTTGCATGAATGTCTCATAGTGAAAAATTAGAACCCAGTGTAATACAGAATAGCTTGGATCAAAAAGAAGCAATAATAACTAAATGAAAAAATAATAATAATAAACTAAGAAAAAAAAAGAAACATGTTTAAGATAATCTAAATTAAATACAGTTTATCCCGATTTCAGAAAGCATTCTCTTAATTGTGAACTCTTTCAGGCTTTAGATTTGGCCCACTAAGAAAATTCAAGGATTATAAGCAATTCAGAGTCACTTAAGAGAAGTCTAAATAAAGCATTTAAAATCTAATTTATCTGAAGTCATTGCAAGTATATACTAAAAGCTCAACTGTGTTTTCTACAGCAATTACATATTCCTTGCTCTACAAATTTTGGAAATAAAAATGAGATCACTTATTCTGTTTGTAATGCTTATTTCATTCAAGAACCTCAAATTATGAAAATAGAAACTCTTTCCAAATAAAGATTTCAATGTCTGAATAATTTATCATCTAAGATTGGCCTGGTAATATCCTCCGATTTCTTAGACGGCCTTAAAGAACATGAGCTTCACCTAGTTAATAAAACCCGAGCACTATAAGTTAATAAAAAGAAATAGTAATTGTTAAGAAAATTATAACATACACATTGTAAACAATACCTTGGTTGGTGCTGAGTAAATCTGTAGAGGTATTGCAAAAACGGCACCTATGTTTGTAGTCAAAAATATATTGGTGAATAGATTTATGGCAATGTCTTTAACAGCAAGTTTCAAAGAAAATATATTCCAACAGCCTGGAGGTAGAAATAAAGGGCCAGTGAAATTCAGAATCTAAAAAGAAAAGAAGCAAGAGAAATTACTTTTCCTAATGCTAATTGCGATTAAAATCATTACAAAGTATGACGCTAAAGTTCTTCTATGCCTTGAAATGTAATTTTACTAAATCATTTTCAGATCGAGGATTAAAATATTTTTATAGAAATGACGGGTTTCAAATAATATTTAATATGCCACTGTCTGAAATTTCACAAAAACAATCCTGGAATTTTAGCAAGTGGCCTTTTGCAAAAACCTACTATTTTATCATGAACCAGGCTTATTTTTTACTAAATATAATCTTTTTAGTACAAATCAGATATTACAATATTTTTGAATAATGGTAAAAACAAATTCATAAAGGATAAATCCTGGTCCCTTTGAGTTCCTTGAACAACAGGGTTGGTTTTGTTTTTGTTTTTTTTTAAAGAGAGACTTCCTAAAAGTAATTCTGAATGTATTGAAAGAAAAATACTTGTTTTAAAAATCATGTCAAAATTAAAATTTATCAATATTAATTTCATAGCATTTGACTTTAAACAAAGCTTAAAATAGGCTAAAATGTACAGAAAAATACTATATATACCTTTAAAATGTGCTTGGTCTCCTTGGAAACAAACACATCATTTAAAACAACACCACGGTCAAAATGGTTGAGGAACCATATTGACCAAACTCCTGATGTGTTCTCATGAGTCTCCATGTGAAACTGGGCTGCAGAAGAGTCCATTCTGAAATACCTGTGAATAGAAGACATGCCTGCTGTCAGCCCTGAGCGGGGAACAACCGTCAGCACACTAATGAACCTCTCGTTGCAAAAAGAGGAGCATCATAAAAGATTATATGGACTGAATGCTAGCACCGGAAACGACCTTAGACATCACCTCCTTCCACCTTCTGGCTCACACATGGAGCAAATGAAGTCCAAAGGGGAAGCAATTAGGCCGTGACCAGGACAGCTCACAGAGGCTGCCACAGGGCACAGCTCACGGGGCAAAACAGGACCCGAATCCAAAATGCTCCAGTGAGCATTCCTTTGAGCACCACGTTGGCACTAAAAAAGTTTCAGATTTTGCAGCATTTGGAGAAACTCAGAAACACCACATTTCTTTTCGAGCACCTGGCTGCATGAGCCAGAACCTATTTCATGAACTGAATTATTTCGCTTCCTCCTCCCCATTCTGCTAAGAGCATTTTCACCGCCTGTCAGCAGTGCTAACGTCAAGGGTGAGGCAAGTCCAGAGAGAAGAGCCATCGTAAAAGTCTCATCAGTTATACTTTCAAAGCATTTCTAGAGGGGGAAAAATCATAAGATTTCAGAGAAAGTAGAATTAACCTACCCTTGGACCACAGGAGAGGAGAGGCATGCTTTTAGTGTTGAAGTGTATTTTGTTTTCTTCACATCTTCTATAATTCCACCGTCACATGATGTAGCTGCTTTGTGGTGTAAAAAAATAAATGTGAAGCATAAGTATCTTTCCTTTCATTAAGCTTGAACAAAAATGAGATACACAGTTTGAATATCCCTCATCCAAAATGCTTGAAACCAGAAGTGTTTCAGGTTTTGGATTTTTTTGGATTTGGGAATATTTGCAGAATATACACTGGTTGAACACACCTAGTCCACATATCTGAAATCTGAAATGCTCCAATGACATGTCCTTTGAGCACTAGGCTGGCACTCAAAAAGTTTAGGACCTTACAGCATTTTGGATTTCGAATTAGGCATGCTCAACCTACACATTTTTATTTATAATTTTTAAATTTACTTTTCTGTCTTCATTAAAACAGTGAATCAGATATAAAGGCTATCACACTCTCTCAAACGTCCTACTTATCTTTCTTTGATCCTGGCTTGTTGCCAATTATCTGGAGCATGGTGTCTAAACCCTCTTTTACCCCCCTTTTTTAAAACCAACCTCTCATTTCTTCTTTTGGCGGGGGTGGGGTGGGGGGATGGAGTTAAGAGTCAGTACTTTGTGGCTTTTCCTTTACATAGATTTGTATTCCCCATAAGTAAGAGAAAGTCCTTAGGTGTGCCAAAGCCGACAAAAGTGAAAAATGAAGCTCAACTAAGTGAAGTAAAGAGGAGCACACAGGGGCAGGAATAACAAAGAAATAAAACCTAAACAGCAAAAAGGAACTTAATGGTAAAAAGCGCGAATGCAGTTCAAAACATTACTGATTTATCAAAATAATGCTTTTAAACTTTCTTTGATTTGGGTCATAATGTTAAATAATTGGTATTGAATTCTTAACTCTAATACTAAAATCTAACTCTCTTTTTAAAAAACTATATATATGGTTCAAAAAATGTTCAGACACTATATCCAAAAAATTCAAACACTAACAAAAAAATGTGAAAATAAAGTCTACCTTTTACCTCTGACTTCCTAATTATTTTAGATAGAGAAAACAACTATTAGCAGTTTCTTGAGCATGCTTGCAGGTGTTCTAAGCATATACAAGTGCATGGAGGCCCTTTAAAAAACCTAGGTGCACACACACTGCTTGCACTGCATGTGCACGTATACTTTTCCACAGCTTCAGAGTACAGCCTGTGTCGAACTACAAGCTACACAGTAGCCTATCAATGGATGTTCAGGCTGTTCTGTTGTCACAAACACTGCACATTTCTGTAGGTACAGTTTTAAATGCATATGTGAGTATATCTGTAGGACAAATTCCCAGAACTAGAATTAAAGACTGAAGAGCATACACATGTGCATTTTAAATTTTCATAGAAATTGCCAATTTTCCCTCCAAAACAGCCTGCATCAGTGTATACTTGCGTCAAAAACGTGTCTTCTTTCTTAATTGTTACCAACACAGAATACAAGTATTAATAACCTTTTTGATCTTCATCAATGTAAGTAATAAATTATATCTCATTTGTTACTTTAATGATCAACATTTCTTTAAATATGAGTGTGGTTGGGCATGTTTTCTTACGTTTAAAATCCTTCTGAATTTCTTTATAGAACTCTTTTTAACTATAAGTAAGAACCTAAAGATAGGATTGTGTTTACACCCACTAGACATTCTGTATCACATTCTACACAAGGAAGCAAAACTGGACAGCAAAACTAAGCTACCTGTGAAAGCAGCACCTCCTTCAAACACATTTAACATCCTGGTCTCTCAAATCACCAAGTGAAGCTTTAAACTCAAAATCCTACATACGTGGCAGAATAAAAGTGGCCTCAACAGTAGTTTTTACATCATGCTATCTCTTAGAATTATTAAGGCTGTGGTTTATTGAAACCAAACCTATCCATTAAAATCATGCCTAAGCTGTAGTTGTAAGTCATTTCACAGAAAGACTGCCACCTTAACAACTAGAGAACAAAAGCAAAAAGACAACCTCCAATATTTTTTGAATCTGTACCTTTGCACGTAAAAGAGGCAATTTTTGTAAAGTTTGTTGTAGAAGCAGGTAGTAGCACTGGTTCAAATTGCAGAGACAGAGCATCTCTCTGTGAGAAATGATGCACATCCTATAACAACAACAAAATCCCACATTACTACTCTCAGCTGGGAGAATATTCACCCAGTTTGAAGCAATCCTGTTCAAAAGAGTAAAGAGCACAACTGACATACACAGCAAGTGCTCAGCTGATGTGTCTGCAACAGCACGAAGCGGGTGCTGTAACTTTCATACACACAGGGGTTCGGCAAGGGAACATGGATTTAAATTCAAGTGAAAGAGAAGATAATAGATACAAGTGCTTCTATGTCTGTTCCTGAAAAAATCCTCACATTCTGTAATTAATGCACACTTGTAATTTCAAAATTTACTTTATGCAAGCATTTACAATTACCTGTATCCATATAAGGCTGTTTCCTGAATGCAATATATACATATTAACTGCTGAGTCATCTGTCCAAAAAAATCAGAGAAATGAGATTTTTTTTAAAAAGCCATCTCATGCCTATACATTAAAATAATAATTAATATATAACATTACACATTTCTATAAAAAAGGATACCTCACTTTGCAACAATGAAATCAAAACTAGGGGTGTTTTGGGTATTTTTAAGGCACAAGAAAAAAAAATCCTTACAAAAAGACTCACCTACCAACCCAGACTCTCTAAATGATGAAGAACTACCAGGAAAGAAATTCCAAGTTTAGGGTCATACTATGTATGCTCTTCTGGATCAAACTAACCAAATGAACAGCTTCAAAGAAAGCTATGTTCTCCTGTTGGTCAGACAGCCCCTTTCTTCCTTAATTAGACAACCACATTTGGAAAGAATAAAACCCTGGATTCTCAAAATACAGCCTTCCCTCTAGCCCTCACCAAAAGAAATGTTCCCCATGGTACAGTGCTATTCTCCCCACTTTCATGTCCATCTGGTCATTATGAGAATCACCCAAAACTATAAACCTGAGGACAGAAGAACTCTCCTGCTGATCCATCACTACAATAACCAATTCTGAGGACTGGAAGGTAAATGATGCTTGACTAACAGTTAAGACTGCCAATAAAAAAAAAACTATACTTTTATATTGCATTTGTACCATTTCTTTCATTGCTAACATATAGATACATTCACATAGCAGAATGCTCTAGATAACCAAAGGATAAGAGCAAATCCTACATTACGAATTTCATGAATTATATAATACGTGTTTCCTATAAAATTTTTTACAAAGTTAAATTTATGAATAAGGTTATTTCTGGTAAGTAGGACACACAGTTTGAAAGATAAAATTCATAAAATTGAACACTAACAAACTACTCTAACTTGTCAGGCAACCAGGAATAACCAGCATCCTATAAACTACTTAAAATACAAAACAAAAATAAATAAATAGAATACAATACAAAACATCGTGATTTGGTCAACTGAGCTTCTGCAAGTCAGTAGAACTGGAAGAGACATAAGACTTCAAATTCTTTATAAATATTTGTATTAGATGGTCATGCTCACTTAATTTGTATACTATCTCCAAAATGCCAAGAAAAATTATTCTCAAGGAAGCTCAGAATAGTTTTGCAATTGTCACTTAACTTCCCCCAAAATAATACAGCCTTATTAGCAGTTACAGACTTAGATCCAGGTACTATTACGATCTCTTAATAATCACTGCAAAGGCTCTTTGTCTTAGTTTGCTATGATACAATGTACATGTAAATGCTATAGAATGATGATGTAGATTAGCCAAAATATACTATAATGAAAATCTGAAAAGATTCCACCTTACCTGAGGTCTCAGATTTATCTGTAGCTACATAAACAATAGAGAGATGATCTAACAAATCTTGTGTGTTTTCTTCGAATTCTTTTGAGGAGTTTTCCATTGTTAAAATTATGCTCATTTGTAGGCGCAAAACATCATCAGATTCCAGATAACAACTCTGAGATTGGAGGGAGGGGGGAAAAAGGAAAAACTCAAAAAATTATCACCTGAACTAAGTGATTATAAACTTTAGAAAAAGAAAAGCACTTAAGGTAAGGCAATTATATTTCTGAGAACATAATGTGTTGTTTTGTTTTTTATTTTTAAACAAAGAAGCAGGAAGGAAGGCAGGCCGGGAGAAAACACTATTTTACTGTACCTTTAATTGTTGACACACTTTATTATGTAAACTGCATTCCAGTTGTACCTGCAAGAGGCTAGTATTAGTGGTTTCTGCCTAAAAGAAGAAAAAAGGGAGAAAAGACTTTAAGGAAGCAAAAGGCTCAATCTAGCCTTAACAGTAAACAACCTATCATTTACTCTGGAGCTTCATTCATTCATTCATTCATTCACTGATTCATTCAACAAATATTTGAGTATCTGCTAAATGCTGAACATGATTCTATTTACTGAAAATACAACAGTGAGCGAAAGAGAAAAATCTGTGCTGTCACTGAGCTTACATTCTAATGAAAGCATAAATTCCCCCTTGGGCAACATGAAAATTCCTATTATGGCAATAAATATATGAATATGTTCTAAATATACACAGGAACACTGTAGATTGGCATTTCTAATGCTTGTTGAACACTGTGTTTAAACATAGGAGTCTACTTTTATTTTAAAGTAGGTCTAGGAAAAAAAACAAAAAAAAGAAAAAAAATTGGAGGGGAAAAAAAAAAAAAAGCAGGTCTGCCCAGTAATAGCCAGTGATAGAAAATTAATTCATATGTGTGCCTTCCTTTAGCGTACCATGATCTTACAAACCATTCAACTGGCTATCAATATTAACACGTGGAAGAGCTATGAATGGAAGAGGCAATGGTGTATAAAAAGGATCCAGGACTTCAAAGTTCTTACTCAACTGGGATGATACTGACATATCTTCAAGAAAACAAAATGAAAAATCTAAACAAGGGATATAGTCATTTGGGTGGGAGGGTGGAGGTTACAGATATGTATGAATATACAGAAAAGTAAGTTAGTGTAGCATGTGAATCCAAAGCACCCGGGTTATGACATTTCCTCTTTTAAGTTTGATGTCGCTGGTATAATGAGACATAGCCACAGTCAGAGCGTCAGGAAATCCCAGCAAGGTGAGCAGGCACTCCCCAAAGCCTACGCTGACTTAACTGTGGGTGAGCATCCATTAACTCCAGGAAGATGCATTATTAAGTAGAATCACCACAATTAAATTTAATTTGTTAGATTTATAAGACTTACCCAAGTATATCATATAAAAATACATTTTTACCTACTTCAATTGTCATCCAGGCAATTAAAGTGCAGAAAAAAAGAATAAAATATTACATTTTAAAATGCAGTAAAAATATTTAGGGAGTTTAACTAAGCTTGTAAATGGGACCAACCACTAGTCAAAGGCTATTATTAAAAAAAATGATTGCTAGTGTCTGCTAGTATTTTTGATCAGAATAATATGATTTGAACTGAACCTAAAATCTTAAGGAAAACTAGATTTTTTAATTTGTCTTTCTATGAACAAATCCCACCGACGACATAAAAAAAGCCCACCATTTACTGAAACTGCTTTAACCAAAGTTACAACTGATCTTCATTCTCACTTTGCTTCGCCCTGCCCCGAGAACACCATTAGCCACGTGTCCTTCTCCTGGCTTTTCTCCCCCCTCTTCGGCCCCTCTTCCTCTAACCATCATCAGACCTTAGTTACACAGACGCTGTCCTGTGCTCTCTTCAGTCGGCTCCTCTCAAGGGGAGCCCTGGAACGTGCTGAGGCCTCCCACACTTATTTCCCAGCTCAGACTTCTCTGCACACCCACGTAGCTGACCCACATCCCCAGTGAGCTGCCCTTGCCCTGAGCCTCATCTTAGGGCCATTACTCACCAACCGTACCATTCACTCCTCGGTACAGTTGTTTAAGCCAGAAACCTGAAAAGCAACTTCACCTTCTCGCTCACCTGCCTCCAACAAATCCATAAGCAACTTATACTGACTGTACTTCCTCCACGGCCCTTAAACCCATTCCATTTCTCTTCATCCTTAATAGCCTAGAGATAGGGACTGGCAAACTACGCCCACAGGCTAAATCCATCCTGCTGCCTGTTTCTGTAAACAAAGCTTTACTGGAACACAGCCATGCTCGTTCCTCTACAAACTGTCCATGGCTGCTTTCATGCCACAACAGCAAAGCCAAAATAACTAAACTGCAGAAAAAGTCTACAGGCAATAACTTCCTCCCAGTCTCCCCGTATCCATCTCTGCCTTTTCCAGTCCATTCTCCACACTACATCAAGAGTGAGTTTACAAATATGCACGTCTGGTCATGTCACTATTTGCCTTAAAACCCTTACAGGCTTTGAATGTGCTGTTCCTTTGCCTTGAACCCACTTCCCCAACCCACCCACCCCTCCACCTAGCTAAGTCTGATTCATCCATAAATCTCCCTCTCAGACACCACTGCTGGGGGTACTGCCCATTACTCATACTCACAGCACCTTTTACCTAACCTTCGGTAACACACCTCACTATAATGTAACAACCTGGTCAAAGTCTATCTTCCCCAGTAGATTCTAAGCAACTTGTTTGGTGCTTTTTACCAAAATGCCCACCACTTAATGAGCACTCAATACACAGTTGGTGAATGAATAGAGGTGGGTCTACAGACGCAGGTGCTATGGAATTGGGCAAACTTGGAAAGGGCAACAAACTCAAAATGGTAAACAATGCCTATTATATCAAAACCTGACGTTCGGTGTGTACTTCTGATCTGAAACTTCCCCCAAAAAAACAGTTTAAAGAGAAAACCACATTAACACACTCTCAAAGTACACATTTATGACTAAGTTTTTAAAAAAAGAAATCTATAACAACTTAACTATGTTATGGTCTTAACCTGACAAGGCAATTCTCTTCCCTAAAATATTTCTTCAAATGAAGATATAATGTTAAAAGTTCAAAATAACAACTTTAAACATTATTAAAAATCCTATTTACGGTGATTTGATGTGATTTAAAGCCCAATATTTTGTCAGTCTTGGTAAATTTCTGGATGAATAAATTTATAATTTGCCATTTAAAGTTAAGATTTTTCTATTAATTGGAAGCATAACAAAAATAAACCACTACTTTGTTTCATTTGCTATAGAACATATTTCAGAGTCCCACAAGGGGGAGTTCTAGCATCTCTAACCTGCTTCAAGTATGCTAATTTTTCTAAAAAACATTTGAAGTTCGTGTCTTTCTCAAAAGAACAAAATTACCGCAATCTTAACTTAAAAAAAGAAACTATAACCAACACGTGGGCCACTTGGGACAACCACACACACTGGGATTATGTAAAAGTTACCCCTGAAAGTACCCCAACTGAGCACACTATGTGACAGTAGGACATCCCCTAATCCAGTGCTGCCTGGGCAGATTATGAAAGAAAAACAAACATCTAATTCTCTATTTTTGAAACCTCCCACAACATTTTAACAAATTAGTTCATAAATCTTATAGCTAAAAGAAAAAGTAACTCCATAAACAAATATTTCCTTAATTGTCTTCATATAAAGTATGTGGTATTATCCCCTTTTAGAAAATGAAAAAGGGGCCGGCCAGGTGGCGCACTCAGTAGAGTGTGGCGCTTGGGAGCGCGGCGGCACTCCCGCCGAGGGTTCGGATCCCATATAGAGACCAGTCCGCTCACTGGTTGAGCGCGGTGCGGGCGCAACACCGAGGGTTGCGATCCCATTGCCGGTCATGAAAAAAGACAAAAAGGAAAAAAGAAAAAAAAAAAAAGAATATGGCTTGGAGGGGTTAAATGACCTATCAAAGGTCCTGGGACTAGTCAGTAGAAAAATAGTAAAAAAAAAAAAAAATAGCAGGTCTTTTAATGCACATCACTACTTTTTCCAAGTAAATCAGAATAGGCCTAGTCAATTCCTCTTAGGTACCTAAAGGCCTAAAAATTCATCAACATGGAGACACATATTAGAAAACCATACTGAGATATAATATGACAGTCAAGAAAATAGAAATGCTAAAACTCCGTTTGTATGGTGTATATTTCCATGGTTTTGTGGTGAAGGCATATGAATTTAGGGAACTGGATACTAGAAAGAAAAAAAAATCAATCTCCCTTCACTTGCTAAAGAATTGGTCTTAGTGTGCTGCGCCAGGAGCACAGTGTGATTTGGGAGGATTATGTGCAATTAATTACACAGTTAAGAAAATGATAGACTTAAAGTCCTAAGTCATTTTAGATTACTTTTATTAACAGGAATAAACTGTACCTTAACAAAAATATACAATAATTTATGTTAACCCAGACAAAATGAACAAGAGACTTAAATCATGACCTTTCCAGTAATAACCACATATGAAAAATTATTAATTTATGAACTATAAAAGAATCACTTAGATAAATCCCAATCTTAGACTCTATTTTTCTCAGATGTTTTTCTCCCCTTTCACAATTTTGAATGCTAAATTTTAGAGGTCCTTCTAAAAGAAAATCTTTTACGCCAACATGTGTATCAATAGGAACCCAGATTCTGTATAACACTATGGTCATTCCAGCCAGTGGCCCACACATACAGTGCTGTACACAAGAGAGTCTATACAGCACATGGCCTCGTATAAAGTAAGAGCTACCTTGGGTCTCTTACGCATAAGACTCAGGGTCTGTAACCAAAGTCCTAATTTAGTGTTTCCTGCATAGCAGACAGACTCAGCTGAATTATTAGTAAGCATGGTACAGTGGTTTTACCTTGATATTAAGCAGCAATTGTATTTCAACCGCCACCACTACCACTACCCTTCTATTTCTCAGATATTAACCACTGAAACAAAATTTACCTGTTGCCAGACTCAGTCACAAAAATATTTGCAAAAACCTAGAAACTGGCTGAAATGAGTGTTTGTTTTAAGAAAAAGCGGGTTAATGCATATGTATAGCATTTCTCCTTGCCTGCGTCATTTTAGAAAAGGTAGTGTGCCCAAGTGGCTTTGTAGTCAATACAGATTCAACATCAAACCCCTGCCATAAACTCCTGGGGACATTCCCTATCCACTCTAGGACTCAGTTTCCTCTTCGATAAAATGGAGTTATTAAGTTGATAGCAATATTTTAAATGCTAAGTGAGATACTGTACATATGCAAACCACCGGGCACAGAGTAGGCCCTCAATGTGGAGAATTATTATTTTTACTTGTTCATTCACAATTAACACGTTTACTTAGTAGAATTCCACAACAAATAATTTAGATATCTG